AAGACATATCCCAGTCTGAACTTCTGGTAATTGTTCAGGTAACAGCAATGCTTTTGGCTGCACTGTACGTATGTTCATTCTAGTTTTCATTTTTACTTTAAGATTTTTTTCCAGATTTTTTTCTGCAAAGCTAATGCTACAAACAGCCTTTTCATTAGATTAATTCATTCAAATATGACAACATTGTGGGACTTGAAAAAGGAAGAAAACAATGGCTAACCAATGCTCAAGTTGGGAAGGATAAAAAAAACTTGGGAATCGACATCAGAAAAGCAATCTAAAAACAGAGATGCCCAAATCACATCAGTATTTTTTGAAACAAATTCAAGACGTTGATTTTATTTAAAAGGCTTTGCATTTGTATTCAAAGCTCGTTTTGGTAAGCATTCTTATTCTATTGCTCCAATATCTTAACTATACAGAATCTAACAATTAGTAAGCTATTCTATCAGCTATTAAAATATACAAAACAGCATTTTGATGTGACAGGCAAGTTCATACACTTAAGAGGCAAGTTCAAAAAAGAACTCAAGTAACTACATCACCATTTCTCATATAAACACTGCATATGAATAAGCCAAGACAATTTATTATTTGCTTATCTATAGTCTCCTGTTTAACTGCAAAATGTTGTATCTAGCATAAAGGTGATTCTTTTAAGATAAGCGTGCTGATACATAAAGGCTATATATATAATCCTGAGAAATCAATTTGAATAATTTATCTTCCATTAACTTTAGAGTTTATTTCCTATATCTTTTCATACTGGAAGTCTCACTGGCTTGTTAAGCAAGAAGCAAAGGCAGCACAACGAACTCAGTATGTACAGGAGATACTAATCATACGGTCAAAGAAAGGATGGTAATTTTCTTAGCTCTGTATTTAAATGGGAAATCTTACATAACTATATGTATTTAACAACTTTAATAAGATTTATGAATGTACTTTTGAGGTAGAAAAAATCACTAACATAGGTTTTAGCCATAGTGGAATTAACGGTACATGGTTTCAGAAATCAACCCAAGAATTAGAAAGGACTGACATTTTTTTGTCATACTCGTTATCTCATCTGTCATTCTCTGTCTTCTTCATGGGAAAATCAGGTCTGGGATTCTTAATATTAATCATTAGTGACAAACAGATTAATTTTTAAGAGCAAACGTAGAATTTTTTTGAGAAAGAGGACAGATATGCATTTATTATTTTAATGGTTTTGAAAACAAATGGCATTTGTTATCCAAATATCCCCTTTTGCCCACAATATACACCACCTCCCAAAAACCAAATTGTAATACTTACTAGACTGTACAACAGCTTGAGTCTGTGCAGAAGTGCCTGATGCTATGTTAGTCAATGCCCATGCAGCTTCAAATTGTAATGAAGGACTGGAATGAAATAATTGTATAGTAGTAAGTTCAAAAATGATCTGCAGATTATTTTATGGTTCATTTCAGTACTACTAGCTCTATCCACTCTGAGACACTCTACATTGAAGTAGCGCCACTGGGCTAAATGTTTTTTTTTAAAAAAACAACAACCTCTAAGCCTGGACATTGTAGAGGAAAAACTGTAAGAAAAAAAAGATGATTTTACATTCTACGATCTTTTGTAAACCACCCATCATTCTGACTTCATATTAGTAATAAAAAAAAATAAAAGCAGTAATCATCATTGAAGTATATACCAACCAGTGAAGCTGATCACTACTCTAGTCAACTAATTATCTCCTGTATGAAAGATTTCTAGGACCTCTCACCAAAAAAATTCATTATGTCTCTCTAACGGGTAACAGAGACCTCTTCACATCCAACTGATACAAACACCATTCCTATTTAAGTGAAGGAAGTGCAAGTGTCTTGCTGCCATTAGTAGTTCTCAATAAATTAATCACATCTGACCATAACTAATAAAAACTTGGCCCTTCTTACATTACATCCCAGATCAAGTGTAAGCTGGTATACTGGGATAAAAACATTTTTCTTCTCCATCACGGACAGGGCAAAGATCTAGCATCCGCATCAAAAGACAGCATCATACCTGTATTAAAACTGACTTATTAAATGCAGATAAAATTAGTTACAAATATTATGAAAGCTGAAGAAACATTTCTTCCAAGACATCTGTCAACTGTTGTCTATGCCTAGAGCAGTTTAGTAAAACAGTTTGAATGAAAACTGTTGTTCAAGCAAATTCTAAAGGTTAGGAGTTCTAGAAGCTATAAAAGAGTTTACAGCTTATGGTGGTTAGCATAACAGTAAGGTATACGGCTTTGGGAGAAGCAGGGAATATTTGTTAGGTAACTGTTCTTCATTTCCATGCTTTTCTGGTTCTTTATCAATTATGTTTTATATATAGTCATAGTACCTGCTTCATTTAAGCTTTTTTGTGCATTAGTTTCCAAAGCATTTTAAGGTTTTACTGGGGATGGAATTGGAAAAGAATTAGATATGAGGGCTCAAGATGTGTAAATAAGGATTTGTGAAAACAAATAGTGCCCTTCAGCAGCTATCTATAAACATTTACATTGTAGGATCAAATGCACTATAATTCTAGTTCTAGGTCAGTCCTTCTTTTCTTCCTCTTGTGGCAAGATTTCAGTTGTAACATGAACAAAAGCTTTAACAATCTGTTAAACAAAGTTTTGCAGAGTTTACCTCTACTAAATATTATATAGCAATCACAATTAAAAGGACTGCTTAAGAAAACACTGAGTTCAATTTCGAAAGGCTTATTAAACATTTATGAAGGTAAAACATGCAAAAACTAGAGAGAAAATTCAAATTAAAAGAATTTTCACAGCACTGAACTATCTACTTCTAGAGCAGACAGGCATTCATGACCCATTTTAAAATGCTATCCTGATTTCAACATTATTGCCAGCTGCCTTCTAAGCAACTGTTTTGTTAAACAAGCTAGAAACAAAGCTACTCATGCTTCACATTTTTGCAACCACCAAATTATACCCAAAATGCCAGTTTGCAAGTTTCTGGCCCTCGTGGCTGCAGAAATAACCTTGAAAATGGAAATACTGTAAATACATTTATGACTGCCTGAGACCAAAGACAGGCTAAAACATTTACCTCAAATGTGTTAATCCCCATCTATCTGAATAAGGGGCTCACAGATTGTGGAGTACAACATTTTCCTGACTCGTCATTTAATTCTTGCAACTAAATGTTCAATGTTCTCTACCTCCTTTATTGAAACTCTTGTTTTCCAACAAAGAATCATGACGGGGAGCACTCTCCCTGTATTGTACCATGACACGAGGGAGCAGCACAGAGTCAGGAGGAAACCCATCTCGCAGTGAGAACGAAAAAAGCTAGAAACTTAAGCTAAAAACCTTAATGAAAAAGATGGTAAGTGTATTCTGGCAAAGAGAAGAGCCTGTTCACAACTGGGCATGTTCTCTGCCTTCACACAAATACACACAGTGAGTCTGAGACAGGTTTCTTAAAAACAATTAACAAAAAAGTCTGGAACATTCAAAATCAATGAGAAATTCAGTAAGGTTTTCTCCATTAGCTGAGTATACTTATGCAAGCTCTGAAAAATAAAACGACATTTCAGTGGCACAATAAACATTCCTGGAGAATTTATAGTTTATCATCATGGAGTGTGATCCACTGTGTCAGATTATATGGTGCTATGAATCCTCAGTTTCATTTGAAAAAATTAGATGTGTTTTTGGATGCAGATTTTCAGTAAAGGTGAACATTTTTGAAAGCATACTTACTTATCATCCCTTTCTAGGCATTTTACCAGAATTGGTAAAATTCCTGATTTTATTAAGTCATCGATAGGTGGATTTCTGTCACTGGATAGGAGTTTTCTGTGAAATTAAATGTAAAAGTAGAATAAGTAACTTTAATAATGAAAAACGTGTAGGAATATATTTCTGTGCCTTTATTTATTTTTACCTTGCAGCCTGGACAGCACTCAGTTGGATCACTGGGTTGTCACTTGTGGCATTCTGAAAAAGAAATAACAGTAAAAACTAAAAATGCACAAAACACACACTTCTAATTAAAAAAAAAAAAAATAGTTAAATGTAACATACCTGCAGTATAGCTTCTAGTGTTACGTTTTGCTTGAAAAGAAAAAAAAAAGTTTTAGTAATTTTGTTGCTAAACTATATTATTTTTAAACATTTAATACAATCAAATTAATTTTAACAGCACATCAGTTTGTAATTTTGCTTTCAAATAACTGTGAGACTTCCAGTGTTAAAATAAAACCAGAATACATTGTTTTGAGACACCACTGAAGTTCTAAAAGTAATACCAGTATCAAGGAACTTACTGCTTTGAAGTCGGCATCAACATCAGAATCTTCTAAACTTTCTTCTTGGGGTACATTTCTTTTTTTCAAAAGATGTTCATCTCTTTTGTTCTGTAAAGGAATGATAAAAAATACAGACACTTCATGCTTATTAGTCCAGGGTGACGATAAAAATCGCTCCTTTCAAAATAAAGTTTAGATAACATTGTGGGTTTTTTTTTTTAAGGCATTTGTAACTGCAAACAGAATTTGCAGTATTTCAGCTGTAGGAGTCTGGCAGCTTGCTAAACGTAGACAGAACTATGCCAATCCATGGCATTTCAATGAATTAAAACTTACAGTTTGGGGATCAATTTTCTAGCAGACATTTACAATTCACATAGATCTGCATGACATTAACATTTAGCCACACATCACCAAAATCATTTTCCAGTGTAAGATTAGTTTTCAGCTAAACCTACTTCAAAGTTCCATGATCACATGTATTTTCATCTCGTGTGTAAAGTAGCATGCTCCAGGTACAGACACTTGTAATATTTCCCACTCACAGTTAGTCTAATTTCTGACTTACAGCATCTGTAGCCTTAGCTTCTTTAAGGAATTATTGAAGAAAAAATTACCTTTTCAGTGTTAAAGTACCCATCTAACATTTCTACCTTGCTTAACTAGAATATTTGAACACCTAAAGCCCTGATTTAAAAAGAAAATAATCAAAGCATCAACTGAAATTGTATCCAAATGCAACTTTTTTACAAATTAAAAATTTCTTAAAATTATTATTTTAAAAGTATGAAACAGTGTTTTCTAAATTTTAGACTTTATCACTTGTTTGGTATGTCTAGAGATACAATCAAAGATAGAATGAGCAATGGAAGAAAGATGATGATGCAGCATGTATACCTGAACACCTTTTTTTTCTGGTTTGTTTTTTTTTTTTTTTTTAATAAACACATTGAGATTTCAATCTTCAGTGAAGCAAAACATTAAAAAGGTGCAACAAACAGCTATAACACCTGAAATAATCTATTATACCAGCAAGGAAAGGCAGGCTTTTCAGTCTCCAAACAATTATCTGATAACTAAACAGTACTGACTACAGAGATTGTATTCTGTCATGCTTTGCTCATAATACATAAAAAAAGTCTGTAAAGAGAATCATGTTTTGAAGGAGTTTCCAGTATTTTACTGTAAGTTAGAAAAAACAGCAACCTCAGGTCCAAAATTTCCGTGACTGACTTACTTTTTAGACATTTAAAGATAATTTTAAACAACTTTTCCAGCCTCAGTTTGAAAGACTCGCAAGCAATATACTAAGATTTTTTATTTTTTTTTTTTCAGATAAGAGAATGCTAAAACAATAAACAAGCACCAGAATTAAATAGCCCTTCAATGCAGAGGACAACATTCCACAAACTTAGGACAGTTTAATTTTTTTGTCAAGTCTAAGTACAGAAACTAAATCCCCAAAGAGTGCCCAAGATCACCTAGATTAGCTACGTCAGCATCTCCGGAGCCATGCAGTAATGGCAGCATACTCAGAGCACATGTATAGAGACAAGCACAAAGGTATTTTGTTGTCAAGTGTTTTTGGAGGGAAGGAAGATGGAAACGAGCAGGCATTGTGAAATTGGAAATGCTGAGAGAATTGTGTTATGCAGACAAATTGCATCAGGTGGGTACACACCAAAGGATGCATTCGCCATAAACACCTACAATATATTTCTCTCATTTTTCCGCACTAAGTACTTGGCACGGCCATTTTAAGCAAAGAGCAAACATCATTCAGCCTCAGTCAATCTGGCTTTGTTCAAGTACAATTCCTTTTCCTACTGTTTGTCTAAACCATAGCCTATACTTCAACAACTGCAGGGACCAGACCCAACTTCCAGAGACCCTCTCCACGCGCCAGTCAGCTTTCTTCAGTGCACAGCTGCTACATGCATCTCCCCACGGATGAAGGGCCTCTCTCCTGCCTTGGATGAAGGGCTCCTGCAGGATCAGCTGTCCTG